TTCTACTCTGTGTACATTCCACCTTCATAAATGTCTGAACTGTCAGTATTTCCTGGATATTCAATCAATTTTACGGCATTTTGGCAGACACACTGAAAGTAGATGTGGATACACCTGCAAACAAGAGCTTTCAGTTTAATGCAATTAATAGCTTGATTTGTCATCTGTCCTTGTCCCTACATTGTTGAGTACAACCACAAAAAACTGTGCATGTTCTTTTTTCCTTCACTTACTTTCAAGCTGGACTAGAAATTGAATTTAATTTGCTTTTTTCAAAATATTAAGTTTCTGGTTATCAGGAATGTGACTTAAAATTATCAACGTGACTGTTTTTTTCAAGGTTTTTGGCTGAAGTTACTCTTAAAAAAATTCAATTTTCATGAAAAATAGAAACATAATATAAAAAAATATATACTAGTACACATAAATATACACATAATTTCACGTTCATGACGAAGAACTAAAAAAAAACCTTACTGATTATAATAAAACACTCACATACAAACTAAAGCGAAAGCAGCAGCTACAGAACTACAGCTATCCAACTGCCGGCATTGAAAAAAATTTTTGATGATCATTTTTTGAAAATTTTAACCCCAAATAAGGGCCCACCAGCCGTGAAACTGCCCAGGGTGATTTTTTGGATGGGCGAATTTACGGCAGAATCCGGTAGTAAATACAAATTTTTCTCAAAATTTCCCAAAAACTTTTGAAATGAATTAGTCAAAATTACATTATGATGTGTAGTATATGGGAATTGTTTACAACTGATTGTTTTCTATTATCACATCACTAACACTCAAAAAACACAATCCAGATCACCCAGGTGACTGTAGCCATACCTCTGTCATCTATGTAAATGCATATTACACTACATGTATACTAATAGTGCAAATACTAAGTATAATGTACTAGTATGTATAAAACATATTTTTCATTTTGTACTGCAAATCGATGCTTACTGCTGCATTAATTTCATGAAATCCATAAAATAAAATGAAATCCTCAGATAAGGACAAAACAAAATAACACTTTACTTCTCTCCCTAGGGAAAATTAAAAAATGCTGGACTGTTATGGATATTGTTGTTGTATTTATAGCATTATTTAAGACTACAACAAAAAGATATTCATGTATATTCAATGTTTAAGATTTATTAATAAATGCATTCAAATACATGCATTAAAGGTTGATTTGGCTTTACAAAACATTCTTTGAAAGAGAAAACAAACATTTCCTCATTATACTGTTTGAGGCACATTTTACCGATACCCATAATTGCAAAAAAATGTGAGAAGCAGATTTGACACATACATGATGAGAAGTAAAAACAATTTTTGGTTCAAAATTAGCTTTGCATTTTGATGAAAGAAAAACAAATATAGGAAACAAACTGCCAAAGTGTAAATTAGCACTTTTACTTGTATAACATTTTTTCTTTTCTTTTTTGAAGATGTCTACCCCCAGTGATTGTGGGAATTCTACAGAAACTCAAGAGTTTGAAGAAAACACAGCCAGTGCGGTGTTACACTACTGCAGTCTTACAATACTTAGTTTATTTATGATAGAGATCTCGCTACGCATTTATTGTATGCGACTAGAATTCTTCAAACATAAACTGGAAGTCTTTGATGCTGTTATAGTTATTATATCGTTTTCCTTTGATGTGGCGTATGCAATATCTCCAGATACTTTCCACGACATCCTGGGACTTCTGGTTATATTCCGATTATGGAGGGTAGTCCGGATATTTAACGGTAAGGAAGAATGAAACAAACAAAGCATGCATGGCATATACCGCTTGAAATATTGTGAACCGCTTTTTGACTCCCATGTGCGAAGCACAAAATGGGAGTCTTTGCAGTTAGTGTGTCTGTATGGTGTGTGTGTGTGTGTGTGTGTGTGTGTGTGTGTGTGTGTGTGTGTGTGTGTGTGTGTGTGTGCGTGTGTGTATG